GTCAAACCCGGTTTGTTCTTCTGTTTCTTTGTTGGCTGCAGTCATGCTTGGCTATCTTGGTATAGGATTTAGAGTTTTGTGTGGCTTCTAATTGCTTGAATTTCAAGATCTAATTACTGTTGGTGTTGATTGAAGGGATGTTGTGTTTTTTACATTTTCCTTTACATATTTGGTATACATTTGCAGAGGAATTGATTTTTTGAATCAGATCTATTGGTCGTGCGAGGAACCAGATTTGGGTTCTATTAGAGAGGAGGTTTGGGGAAGAAGTAGATGGTGATTGGAGTGATAATAGATGATTGGAGCAATGAGGGATGATCGGTGTTGATTGGGTTGCAAGATGAGGAGATATCTGAAGATAGAGAGAGACGAGAGGGGATGGAAGATGAAGATGGGGTATTTAAGGAATTTTAAATTTTTTAATATATAAATTAATTAAAATGATGTGGATAATAATGAGTTAAGTTATTTTCCACGTAATTAAAGATTTCAAATAAGAATTGATATCACGGCAACTTAACGTGCCATCTGGCACTTCTGTGGACGGAAGGACGAAATTGGCCTCAAAAATTGAAGTTCAAGGATTTTTTTAGTACTTTTTGAAGTTCGAGGGTAAATTTAGTTCAAAAATGAAAGTTGAGGGATTGAATCGAGGATTTAACCTAAAATTTAGGGCAATGATTAGTACACCTAATATTTTAACACTCGGTTCAATACCCTTCGGTTTAGTCATTAAAAATATAATATAAATACAATCAATTCCGTTGGTTTTTGTATCTTGTGTACATGATTGTATCATTATACTTGTTTGTTTTTAATTTCAAACTAAAAAATAATAATTTTTTAATAACAAAACCGAAGGGTGTTGAACCGGGTGTTAAAATATTGGGTGTACCAATCACTGTCCTAAAATTTAACATGAATATTACTAAAATTGATTAGAAGCATTCATAATCAAAATTTAAAACTTCTAAACCAAATATCAAAGAATAGTAGAATATCAAGACTAATTTTATTATATTGTTTCAAAACTTTTAGAATGATACTTATTTAAAACTTAGTTAGGAGAATTATAAGATTATTTTAAGAATAAATTAGAAATTTAGGGTTTTAAGAGTAAAGGCACAAATCAATTTTGAGAGGATAGAGTTGCAAGTGAATTAAAAATTTATAATTAAGGTTAAAGTGCATAAATAAAATGGAAAAATAACTTAGGGAATATGAAGATGTTCTATTTTTATTTTTTTAATTAAGTTAATGGAGTTATTATCTTGTAAAATAAGAAAAAGAAAATTTAAAACACTACAAAAATATGTTATATTATTTAATTAAATTATTTTCTAATCGGATTTTATTTTGTAATCGGGCAGTTCGGGTGATTTAAAAGTAAAATCACAAACCAAACCAATTATATCGGTTTTAAAATTTTAAAATTCAAACCAACCCAATTTTATATTGGTTTGGATTGGATTTTGATTGAATTGGATCAGTTTAAGTCAGATCAATGAGATTGGATCGGATATGAGTACCCTTAGTACGGACCCCCAATTTGGTCCTTATTATTTACCAATTTGTCCCAAATTAGTCCTTCCGTACCAAAAAAAGCTGACGTATCTAGTATTTAACGGCAAAAAATAGTAACTTAACGGCTACGTATCACGTGAATAACAAAACACGTCAACTGTTTTTGTATAGAATGACCAACTTGGGGCAAATTGGTAAACAGTAGGGATCAAATCGAGGATCTGTACAATAGTTTAGGGGACCAAATTAAGGATTTTTTAGTTTAGGTACCAAATTGGGGGTCCGTACAATAGTTCAGGGACCAAATTGAAGATTTAACCTATTTCATTTGATAATTTTGTTTGTTTTTTGTGGATTTGTTTTTATTTTCCCCTTGATTCTGCCATAATAGTTCATTTCTCCTGTTCATATCTTGGTTGATTTCTTGATTTCTCGATTTAATATTCTTTTAATTCCGCATCTGAGTTTTGTTTGATTAGCTCGATTTTGGGTGATAATCAAAATTTGGGAATTTTGAGTTTGCAATAGGATTATCTTTGTTGTCGGGCTAGGGTTTTTAGATCAAATTCAAAATCCAATCATTGTTTTATTGGTTATTTGGAAGTGGATTATATCTTTGCACCCTTCTTTTGATGGAAAGTGTTGTAGTAGTTCCTCTGTAAATAGTAGAAATTTTCAGTGCCCAAAATAAAGAACTTGTAGGAATTATCAATATGAAATCCACACGAAGTTTATCCTTAAAGGCCATGTTTGGTCAGATGGAATGGTTGTGTCTTTGTCAGGGCATGGAAGTAAAAGGGAAAATCAAGAAGTGGAATTGACAAGCTTGGAATAAGGTGGAAATAAGTTGGTCATTTTCTTTTAAATTAGTGAATAAGGTAGAAATAACTAAAACTTAGGGAGAAGATGGTAATATCTAGTCTTATCTTATTCCTAGCTTGTCAAGTACTCTTCTTTATCTTACCTTATTTTCATGCATTGACAAAGGAGTCCGTCCAACCAAACATATTCTGATAGTGGTGATCAAGTCAAGTGTTATAATTAACATGGTTAGCTTTTAGCTACTCACTGTATCTAACTTCTAGTGGTTTATTGGGTTCAATTAAAGTATTCAACTAAAAGTAACAGCGAAGATAATCTAACTAAATAAAAAAATAAATAAATTTGCTTATCAGTCTGGTATGATTCTTTGTTCACTTGCATAACTGAAATTTGGTATGTGTGTTCAATATCTACATGGATATATATTTAATACCATCTGTGTTCTTTCAATAAACAAATTTTGCAATGAGTTAGTAACTGATGTAAGAATTAGATGTTTTACTCCAGCTATCACATAAAATGCCCTTTCTTTTAGCTTTCTTTGTGGTAGATGTATTTAACCACTTTAATATAGAAAATGAAAGAAGTGCAGTGATTCTGATTTTACTGCCAGAGATGTTTAACTTCATAGATAATTGCTATTTTATGATATACACACACATTTTGGCCTTTTTGCCTTTGTTTAGTTTTGATCAGGATGGAATCTGTTTTCATGCTTTGAATCCATGATTTGTTTGAGAGTACATTGGAATAAAGTTTGTTTTTTTTTTTTTCTCTCTCTCTCTTCTTCATATTCTCTTTTTGTCCTCTTCTCTTACTAACTATCCTGCTGCTGGTAATTCTGGCAACAGTATATGCAAGATGAAGATGCAGGCAGGCCGTATCGGAAGTTCCTCTGAGTCCCTTTCCAGCTGCTGAATAATAAGTGTGGGTGAGGTAGACCGTACCACTAAGAGTGCATTTTAATCCATTAGCAGGAATTTCTTTTGGTCTTTTCATTAGTGATGGTTTAATATGTCGTCCCTCTTGAGTTTCTGCTTTACTTTTCCTTTTGGCTTATGATTTTCTGTGCATTGAATCCTCTATTTATTCACTGATAAAACTTGAGACTATTCCAAGGTAATGATTTTTGGTTCTAGCTCGCTTGCGTCATATTCTAAATTAATCAATTTCGCCAAAAGGCTTTATTTCAAAATTTTCAAACAATTTTTAAGTTTTTCTAATCTAGGAAAGAAAATTGTTGTCAATTTCTTCAGTTAACTATATAGGGCTTAGGAAAATGATTATGGTCCATAATCTTATTACAATGAACCCTTACCATTGTAAGTATAAATAATTATAATTAACTCTTTTTATTTAGTAAAATACAAGAAACCCTATTGATTGGTTCCTTTAATGTTATGTGAACACTGATTTTCTATTTTCAAATTAAAAGAAGAAAAATTTTGAGAATCTCTGTGAGTTCTGGGTAAGGGGTCATTTGCCATACAAAAAAAGGTTCAAGGGCTTGCATGTTGCTAGCCTTAAAGTTTGAAACTTATTTAATGGTTTTTCAAGTAAAGGTACAAATAAGGATTCTAACTTTACACTTTTTTTTTTTATTTAAAAATGTTAATTTTGTCAGTTTCTAAATAAGAATGTCAACTTTATCAACTTCTAAATAAGAATGTCAACTTTATCAGTTTCTAAATAAGGATATCAACTTTCAACTTTTTTTATTTAAGGATTAATTGAATAGTGATGTTAACGTGGCTAACATATTTTTTTAGGTTAAATACTTGAATTGGTCCCTTAACTTTTATTTTTGAACCAATTCATCCTTAAACTTTGTAATGTACCAAAAATATCCTTCAACTTCAATTTTCAATTTCGTCTTTTCATCAATTAAATGTTGATGTAGCTAATTTTTTTGTTAAGTGATTGACTATTTTACATTTTCAATATTAGGTGGAAAATCCATCATGTAAAAGATGATTATGTGGATTTTTTAAATTTTAAATAATTTACAAACTACTTTAATTCTTAATTTTATTTTATTTATATTTAAAAATTAAAACAATTAATATATTTTCCCATTTAATTAGTCCCACCTACCATTTAATAAAATTAAA